GTCTTTTAATTTCATTGCATTTCATAGTCATTCATGTACATTGTATTTTACATAATTAATTACTGTTGAACTATGCTTATTACTATCCCCCCTTTTCAAGTCCCCGTTGAATCTTTCCAATTCCTTCACCCCACCCCGTCTGCCCACTAAACTCTGCTATCCTAGTAATGTCCACCCTTCCCTTTATACCATCTCCCTCTTTCCCTTTATATACATCTTATTCAGTTATCCTATCCTTCTATTTTTATAATTTTTGCAGTATTTGTCCTAGTGAGACTGCATTATTTAACTCAGCATAATCCTCTCTAAACTCTCCCATGTTACATAGTGTTTTCTTAAAATCTACTTGTATTTATTGGATCATTTAGAACTCTGTTAATTATAACTTGTGAGTTCTAATCAAGCTATATTAAGAGGCTAAATATAAGGTTATAATCGCACACACACTCCACTTTCCATACTCTAAGAAACTATAATAAGCACATCTACACTGCACTCAGAATAAGAAATAAGCACTCCAAAGTTACATAATGAAGAAATAAATTTTTAAATGTGGAAACACTGATTGAGACTATAGTTTAAAAAAAACGAACACAGAGGTTATTTTTGTTTTTTTTCTTTGAGAAATTTTTGCTTTTAAAATCAAGTGAGTGCTGAAATGTTTATTTTTATTCTGGAATCCTGCATTTAAAAAAAAAAATAACACAAAAAACCCACAATGAACAAAACCTCCCAAGGTTTTGCTTGTTACAGTCTTGAAAGACCCTTGCTGTGCTTGTAAATGCAGGAGGGGAAGGCCCTCTATGAGGTGGATTGATTCAGTGACTGGGGTAGTCAGGATGGGTGTGTCAGAGACAGTGCAATTGGCACAGGACAGAGCAGAGTAGGGCTGTTGCAGAGGGTCGCTGTGAATTGCAAGTGACTCGATGGCACATAAAAACAACTCTTAGGTGTTGTCAAATCAGTTACAACTCTGAAGACCTTATTGACAGCAAAACAAACATACGTGGCCTGATCTGTGCCTTCTTCGCAGTCTTTGCTGTATGTGAGCTCATTGTTGCAGGCACTGTGGCAGAGTCCATCTGTGGTGATGGTATTCTTGTTTCGATTCCCTCTGCTTTACCAGATGTGACATGTCCTGTCTCTTCTGGTGAAAAATCCAAAGTATGTGATAGGAAGTCTTGCTGTATTCATGTCTGTGGAGCATACTGGATATACTTCCTCCAGGACAGATTTGACAATTCATGATATAGTTAATATTTTCCAACAACACCATAATTCAAATGTGTAAACCATCTTCCGTAGTGGTTCAGCATTTTACATTTTACAGCCCCACCAGCAGTTGTTAAGGGTTCCAGTCTCTCCAGCCTTGCCAGCATTTATTGTTTACTGCTCTGTTGTTGAACTTTGCTATCGTTACTGAGGTGAGATGATATCTCATAGTTGTTTTGAAGGTTTTGCTAATTTTGTTACCATCATTGCTTGCGTTTTGTGTTAGTTCCACTCTGCACATTTGCTAGCGGCTCTCAAATAGGCTTGTGATTAACTGCCATCAAGTTAGCTCTGAGCTCATGGCAACCACACATGCAATGGGATTAGATCACTGTGATTAGTAAGGCTGTCATTGCTAATTTTCAGAAAAAGATTCTAGTCCATTTTACCGGAAGCTCTGTTGTAACAACATGAGAACTTCACTCACCGGTTGGTGGCTGCTGAGCGTGACATGTGTTGGCCAGATAACAATCCCTGGTCTCCACATAGAAGAAGAGAATTCTTCCCAAACATCACTGTCCCACCAAATATCCTCAGCTGAACAAGGAAGCTCTGGTAGCTTGTGGGAAGAAGCTGTGCTGCAGTCCTAAAGGCATGCAGTTCAAATCCTCGTGAGAAGGATGAGCAGTCTCCTCCTATATGGTTTACTTTTCTGAACACCTGCTGAAGGGTTAGCTGTGAGTTGGTTCCAAATCAGTGACACACAGAACCACCACCACCTTTATCAATTTTACTTTAAGATAGAGCTGTTCTTTCGTAGATTTCTCATCATTATCTGCTCTCCTTATCATTGGTAATCGTATTTTTACCTTTCCAGTGTATGTTGTTATAGGCAGTCTCCTATACAGGTTACAAAGGGGTGAAACCAGGCTGTTCCTTGGAGGCAAAGATTCTGAAGCTCCATCTGACATACTTTGGACATGTTGCGAGGAAAAACCAGTCCTTGGAGAGAGACATCACGCTTGGGAGGGTGGAGGGACACTTCAGGAGAGACCTTGGATGAGATGGATTGATTCAGGGACTGGGGTAATGTGTCAGAGACAATGAGGTTGGCTCAAAATGGAACAGGGTTCAGAGCTGTTGTACACATGGTCCCTAAGAGTCACAAGCGACTCGACAGCACATAACAAACAACAACAACTTAATTTTACAGAAGGGAAAACTGGAAATAAAACAACTTGGCATATCACACTAGTTAATAAAGACTTGCATTGCAACATGGCTCCCATCTTATTCCTATGTTCTGAGTCCTTGATGGTAGGCAAAACGTAAAGGTGAAATGATAAAAAACTGCATATCTCGCTCTCTTAAAAAACTCCTCACCAAGGAGTCAGAAGTGACTCGTAATCCACCCTCCATTGGCTTTCCAAGGTGTGAATTGCACAGGAGGAAATTGCCCAGCTTTTGCTAGCATATAGGAGTTGAACTGCCAAAGTGGCATGGCTTTTTTATCTAGTACTGCAGCTTCATACCAACTAGGCACCTGAGCTCCCTATCCTACTCTAGAGACTATGGCAGCAAAATGCACTGTAATCCCTAAGGTTCAAGGCCACGAGCTGCTCTGCTGGCGCAGTTAACCACCTCTGAAAACCCACCAGAGGGTCAGCTATGAGTTCTGACTCTGGTACACAGCAACAACAACAACAACATATGTACCTTAAGGAGCCCTGGCAGCATAATGCATAACATGCTAGGTTGCTAAATGAAGTTTGAAAGTTGGGCCGTCTCCTCCTATAAAGATTTACAACTTCAGAAATCTGAGGGAGGGTTGTTTGACTCAGAACAGATTGACAGCAGTGGACTTTTATGCCTGCTTTATCATATACCTTTCCAGCTATTCATGATTTCATGTTCTTTTGGAGCATTTCAGTGTAAACCTCAGATACCTGTGTATGAACCCCCCTAAATACTTTGACATGCATATAGTTAACTGGAGTTCAGTTTATTTATACCTTTTCTTTTGACATAAAGTTTACGATGATAATCACACCTATTCATTGAATTTTAATAAATGTATTCGCCTACATTATCTAAATGATCATATAAAAATAAATGGTTTAGTGATGAGGAATTGTGTATGACCCCAAAAGCTCATGGTTCAAATATGCCAGGTAATCTGTGGGAGAATGAAGTACATTCTTCTCCTGGCTGATTATCTCCAAAAACCCACTGGAGGGTCAGCTCTGCTATGGTTCCAGTTCAGCAGTACATAACAACCACATCACCACTCTGTGGGAAATGCAGTTAGTCCACAACTGTGGCAACGTTTGGTATACTGTCAGTCTTGAACGTTAATAATTCTGGTGACATGTAGTCAAGCAATCAGCCACTAATCAAGAAGTCTTCTGTTTCAGCCTACCAGCTGCTTCTCAAGAAACAGATGAAGCACTCTGATTTACAGCTCTGGAAATCCTATGGAGCAGTTCTACTCTGAACTGTAGGGCTGCTATAAGCTAGAATTAACTAATTGGTAGTAATTTTTGTTGAGTTTTTTTAAAAAGTAGATTATATAATAGCATCTCATTGTTATTTTAATTTCTCAAAAATACTAATGATGATGGTCATTTGAAAAAAATAGAACTCACTGGCAATTTGTGTATCTCTGTGAACCATCTATTAAAATATTTTTTCCTTTTTTTAACTGGTTTTCATAAAATCCATTTATATTGTGTTCCATACAATCCCTCATTTACATTCCATTTCATGCAATCATTCATATACACTGTATTCTATATAATCTGTCCTGTATGCCGTGATCTGTACTTATTATTACCTCTTACTACACCATCTTTTCAAACCTTTTATTTAAAAATTTAAGAAGAGGCCTGTATTTTGTTTAGTTGCTTTTTTTAGATGTCATCTAATTGACTATAACTCATGTTGTTGTTGTTGATTGCCTTCGAGTCGAACATGACTCATAGTGACTCTATGAACAAAAGGCCTGAAGCCCCTCTACAACTATCGACATTTATCAAAGTTTGTAGAGTTTCTGGAGGTATGTTGTTTAGGAAGTGGATGCCATTCCTGCTTCCAAAGCTGTCAAAGTATGTTTTATACAACTCATAGCAACCCTATAAACAAGTCTGAATCGTGCTCTATCCTGCACCATTACAGTCTCTGCACTGCAAGCCCACTGTCCATAGTCATGATGTTAATACATCTTGTTGAGAGTCGTCTTCTCTTTCACTGACTATCTTTTTCACTATAACGCATCATTCTAAGGACTAGCTGCTCCTGATAACATGTCCAAAGTATGTGAGGTGAAGCTTCTTCTGGGTGGATTAAAGTCACTTCCAACTCCATGGCAAGGAGTTTTTTTGAGAGAGTGAGATAGATCATTGTTTATCATTTCACCTTTATGTTTTGAATTTTTCTTTATTTTTATTGTGTGCCTTTGAGTCAGAATTAACTCATAGCTGACCCCCCAGTGGGTTTTCAGAGGCAGTAAATCACAGGGGAGGAGATTGCCTGTCTTTCACCCTCAGAACAACTGAGGGGATTTGACTCATGTGCTTAATGAGTGTTAAGGAAAGAAGAGGGGAGGGAGGGAAGACGGTATGCAGAGCAGACTAAGACCAATTAGAAAACTACCACACCACTACATTGTAAAAACTGTACTGAATTTTCTTTTTCATGACTTAACTATAAGCTTTAACTTTATTTTAAAAAACCAGCTCAATCCTGTACCTAATCGTTTGACTGATCTATGGTGTTTGATCTGTTGACAGGGACAGCCCTTCTGCTGGGTCCGCGTGCTCCAGTAGGACTCTGTTGATTGATGGCTGGGTAGAACTCAGAAGAGGCCTCCAGAGACAGGAGCGACATCTTTTCCTGTTCAATGATTTGCTTGTTGTGGCCAAAATCAAGTAAGTACACAGTACATTCTATTGGTTTTCCTTATAAAACTGCACTTGTACTAAGAAAGATAACCTTCTAAAAAGGCCACATAGGCATGCCTGGACTCTGTACCTATAGTTAATATCTAAAGTTAGTTTTTTGGTTTGGTTTTGGTTTTACAAAATAGTATTTCAATCACTTATACATTCAACAGGTGTTTAGACAGGTCCTGCTCTGTGCTGTGCCCTGAATAATGGAGAGAATACAGTTAAGAATGTGACAGGTATGATCCTAGCTCTTTTGGAGTTTACATTCCAGTGCTGGAAGGGAAATTATGGCCTGTGATTAGTGCTTTGAAGGAAATAGGATGCGGCTGAAGAAGGCAGGATGTATGTATGTTAAGTAACGGTAGTCAAGGGAGAAAAATAATTGAAGGATGAAAAGAACCAGCCATTCATAGTCTGGGAATGTGAGCCTTTTAGGTAGAAGAAACAGCAGGTATGAAGCCTTTTTTAGGCATTCAGAGAAAGCCTGTATAATTGGAAGAGCCCTAGTGGTATAGGTTAAGTGTTACGCTGCTAACCCAGGCATCAGTTCAAACGACCAATTGCTTCTTAAAAGAAAGATGAGGCTGTTCCACTGATTACAATTTACACCTTCTGAAACCTGATGGAGAGTCACCATGCCTCTGAAGGGTCTTAGGTGTGAGTTGTTTGGGATGGAAGGGAGTGTAAGGAGAAGAAAGAGAGTAGTGCAAAATGAGATTGGAGAAGTAGACAAGGACCTTTGTAGATTGGATGAACTGTCTATAGCGGTATAACAGATAATTCCAAAATATAGCAACTCAAACGTTTTGAAGTGTTTCTGGCCAAGGTCTGCTGAAATTGCAGTGCTGCTGCTGGTTGGAGTTGCAGTCCTCTTCAGGCTCAGGTGGAGCTGGAGGATTGACTTCCATGGAAGAAAAAGGAAGCATTCAGCATCTGTAAAATTGTTAAGCCTTGAAACTACTAAATGGGTACTTCTGCTCCATTCTGTGGAGTTGCTTAGAGTCAGAATCTACCCCATGACAATGGGCTCAACTTTTTGAGGGGCATAATTGTTAACTTTTTCTCTTTAGAGAAACTATTCTAGAAAGTGATACTATCCTCACAGTACAAAAGAAACAAATACTCAACTATGTTGACTTCCCAAATATCACAAAGGTAGTAATAGTTGAGGCCATATGTTAGCCAAAATCTGTCTTATTGCAGAGTTTTTGCTTTTAAATGATTATACTTAGTGTATGACTTCTTCCCCCCCCCTCTGAATTTCATAGATTCCCTCAGTAATTTGTTTCCTTTCACTAGTACATCAGTCTTTTCTTTGTGATGAGAGAAAGGCCTTAACTAAACACTTACCTAGAAATAAATAGTATAGAATACTTATTAGTTGCTTTTTTTAAGGTATACTATTTTTTATTATTAATTTTAATGAAAATTTACAGAGACTTTGGATTTCCATTCATTCACTTTTCTCCCTGCCTACCCCTTCCCCCACTCAGTTCACTCTTCTCTTTGAAAAGTAAAAGAAAAATTCATTCATTGTTTTACAATCCCTCCCCCCAGGTACACTCCACTATGCAGACTTCGTTCTGGACTCCTGTCATGACAAAAATACCTAATCATATATCCATCTGTCCTGTATGCCGTGATCTGTACTTATTATTACCTCTTACTACACCATCTTTTCAAACCTTTTATTTAAAAATTTAAGAAGAGGCCTGTATTTTGTTTAGTTGCTTTTTTTAAGGAATACTATTTTTTATTAATTTTAATGAAAATTTACAGAGACTTTGGATTTCCATTCATTCACTTTTCTCCCTGCCTATCCCTTCCCCCACTCAGTTCACTCTTCTCTTTGAAAAGTAAAAGAAAAATTCATTCATTGTTTTACAATCCCTCCCCCCAGGTACACTCCACTATGCAGCCTTCGTTCTGGACTCCTGTCATGACAAAAATACCTAATCACATATCCCTTTTAAACAGTTTTCTCCCTTATCTGTTTCTACACTTGATCAAAAGGCCGAGAAGCGATCCCTTATCTGTTTCAATGCAGTATATTTAATTTATCCATGCGCCTGATACAGGCCATGGTCTTTGCAATCACTTGTTATGCATCATAGAGTTGGACAATGACTAGGGAGGACAGAAGAAGAATTGATGCCTTTGAGCTGTGGTGCTGGAGAAGAGTATTAAATGTAACATGGACTGCCAAGAAAACAAACAGATTCATCCTGGAGAGGATTAAACCAAGCAACCCTTTGGAGGCAAGGATTCTGGGGCTTTGCCTGACATACTTTGGGCATGTTGCAAGGAGGGACAGGTCCTTGGAGAGGGACATCATGCTTGGGAGGGTGGAGGGACAGCGCAGGAGGGGAAGGCCCTCTATGAGGTGGATTGATTCAGTGACTGGGATAATCGGGATGGGAGTGTCAGAGACAGTGCAATTGGCACAGGACAGAGCAGAGTTTAGGGCTGTTGTACATAGCATCGCTATGAGTCGCGAGTGACTCGAAGGCACATAACAACAACAACATTATACAGTTATCTCAGTTTGCCTAGCAGTTCCAGAAGATAGTTGTTAGAACAGTGATCAGGGAAGTTTATTCAAGATTATATGCTAGAAAAATGACAGAGCTGTGATTTCAATACAAAATTTCATTCCAAAGGCTGGGTTCTTTCTCCTATGTTGTTGTTGGTAGATGTGATCGAGTAGTGACCTTCAGAATAGCAGATGTGAACCCTGCCCTATCCATCCTGAGCCATCCTCACCATCTCTTACACTCTTAAGCCCATTGCTGCAGTCAGGATGTCCCTCTTTTACCATCCCTCCATTTTTCCAAGCATGATGTCCCTCTCAAAGGAATAGCCTCTCCTAGCACATTCCCAAAGTATGTGAGATGAAGTTTTATCATCTTTACCTCCAATGACCACTCTGGCTACACTTTCTCCAAAGCAGCTCTATTTGTTCTTTTGGCAGTCAATGTAATATTCAGTACCACAGTTCAAACACATCAATAATTCTTCTGTCATCCTTAATCTTTGTTCCACTCTCAGATGCATAGCAAGTGAATGAAAAGACCATAGCAAGAATCAGGCACCCTTTAGTTATCAAACCAACATCACTGCTCCTCAGTAATTTGGAGAGATCCCTGACTACATACTTTCCCCAGTGCAGTACATCTCCTGGTTGCCTGACTGCAGGTACCAAGTGTATTGACCATGGATCCAAGTAAGATGGAATCATTGACAGTTTCAGTCTCTTCTGCATCTATTATAATGTTGCCTCTATGTCCACTGGTAAGAATTTTTGTTTTCTTGATGTTGAGATGCAATCCATATTGAAGGCAAAATTTCTTCTATATATTATATTTATTAAATACAATGCTTTGTGTTCAGCCTGTGGGCAAATAAACCACAAAAATTTAATGGCCTAATGAATTTTCTGAACCTTTCAGACTCTTCTAACATTCAGCTCTTAGGAATTCAGGACTGTGTTTTCCTTTACCTTGTTTTGCCTTTCCTCCTCCCCCACCCCCCACCCAGCAACTGTGTTAATGTTTTGAGTAGTAAATGTTTATTTTGTTATCTGTACTCATTTATTGTTCAGAATACTGTTTGTCTCTAAGTGATTTTTTATGTAAGCTATAATGTGCTACTAAAAACTTTTGTGTGTAAACTGTTTCTTTTTCCACTAGAAAATTGCTCTTTTTATATATACTGGCAGAATCTGTGCCAATCACCCATTTCTACACCTGAATTTTTATTGAGGTGTGCAGCAGTATTTTCCATGTATTGCTTTTGAGATGATTCTTCCTACTTAATGAAGTGATTTTTTTATGAAGTAAAAGATTTAGCACTTAATTGATAGATCCAGATCTTTTACTTCATAAAAGGAATCACTAATACTGAGTGCTACCACTGTGCAAAAACCAGGCCCCCCATTTTTTTTTTCAGAAAATTATTTTTTAATTATACAGCAGGCATTTAGATATATTGACAAGATCCTTCTGGATATGAAAAGAAAAAAATGTTTTATTTTTCTAAAATAACAACCAGGTAGAAATAGTACCAAGTATACACCTTTTCTGTAACTATTGACCCTTGGATAGATGATTGGGTCATATCCTGGATCACTTAGTTTGTAGAAATGACCTCAGTAATTAAGACTTTTTACATAGCCATTGTGGAGCAAGAGGTGACCTAGACTCCAAATTTTTTCTGCTCATCTTCAGGCTCCATTTCTTAGGACTGCAGTTCTTAGGATGATTCTACAGAAATAAAATCAAAGGGGATAAATAATTAATCAGGTACCACATATTTATTTTGTTAAGTGAATTTTAGTGTACATGGTGGATTTTTTAAGTGCATCTTTTTATTGACTTAAGTTATTATTCTAGTGTGTGCTGGATCCTGACAGTATTTGCTTGTCTGAATGTTTGTTTTGAGTTTATTGTCATACTTTTGCATCATACTTTGAAATAAATATTAAAACCAGATGGCATCTCAGGGACCACTTTTATATTCATCAGAAGCTAAATAAGAAGTGATTTTCTTAATCCTGAAGATTATCCAAAAAGGGACGTGAACAGTACATCAACAGAACTACCAGAAATAGGAGATAGGTTTAGAAAAGGGCATGGCACTCAGGATATCATTGCGAGTCAGATGGATCTTGGCCAGAAGCAGAGAGTACCAATGTACAGACATCTATCTGTGTTTCATTGACTATGCAAAGGATTTTGATTGTGTGGATCACAACAAATTGTGGCTAACTTTGAGAAGAATGGGAATCACAGAACACTTGATTTTGCTCATGCAAAACCTATACTTGGACCAGGAGGCAGTTACCAGAACAGAGCAAGGAAACACCGCATGGTTCTAAAGCAGAAAAGGAGTGCATCAAGAATGTGTCCTGTTGACATACCATTTCAGTCTATATACATAACAGATCATGCAAGAGGCTGGACTTTATGAGAAAGAATGTGACA